TTATCCCGTCTCTCTTCTCCTGATCTCGCTTTGCACTGTATGGCGTACGCGTGGCCCCGTTCCAGAGTCTGCTTTACCTCCGGCGAAGTTCCAAGACGTTCTGTCGGCGGTGTCTAAACGCGGGAAATTCTCTCTCTCTCTCTCTCTCTCTATCTCGCTAAGAAATCTACGATGTATTGTGTTCGTCGAGCATAAAGTTATATTGGACACCTTCTTACATGCGGTAACCGTGTTCATGTGATCCAATTTTGTCGAACAGAAAAGCTGCGACTAATTACACGAACCCTCGACGAAATGTCACTCGACTTCGTCGAGAGTAATTTTAGTTTCAATATACATACCTATTATGTATATCAATTACTGTAACCAGCTAAATAATATCAGATTCTAGACACATTAAATAATATAACAGAATTTTCATCGTTATATATATATATATATATATATATATATATATATATAAAAATGTATAGGTATATTTAAAACGTTCTAAAATTATATATGCTTTTTCTACCTCTTTTAAAGATAGAAATATAATACTGTAACATTTTAGATTTTCAACGGTTACAAATGAAAGCAATTATTTACAGAGATTAGTGATCATTAGTGAATCTATCTCCTAGCGTATTCACGCACGTTGACATCGCAAAGCTGGCGCTCGCCAGAGATATTTTTGGGCCGCCCTATACGCGGTGGATGATGATTCACGTTACGGGAAAGAGAAGGCTTGAACATCCAAAGAGACTCTACCGAAAGATTCAAGGATGAAATGTGAGTACGTGCATTTAAATTCGAGATCGCATCCGCAGAATAGTATACACACACGATACTTGAAACGACATTTATCTCGTGCTCCGTTACAGCAGGGTCCACAAACTGTCAGTGACGTGGGAGGAAAAGCGTTCCTTCCTGTCGCGGTTATGGGGTTTATTAGCATAGCGGGAATAGGCGAACTTTCGCATATGTCGGAGTGCTTTTCGACTTACCGACGCCGTCTTCTCCCTTGAATAGTCCGAACTTTCGTCGTGTATCATCGTCGCCGAATAAAAGCATGGTGAACACGTATAGAAAAGATATTATCGTAATCAGTAGCGATAATCGACGCTTTTTGTCGAGAGAATAATTTATTTTCGCAATGAGAGACGATTACTGCGTCAAAATATTAACGGGCTATCAATTATCAGTGTAGCGATTATTTATATATATATATATATATATACCTGTGTGAGTAAAGAAATACTTCATATTTGATACTGAAAGAAGCTTTTCGCGTCAAACATTTCTTGCTACTCTTCTTTTATCTTTGATATTTTAGCAAAAGATCAAACGTCATTAACAATCACGGTATTATTAAACATATTTTTAAGCGCAAAATTAAATTCGTGATCTCATTTAAAGCATTCCACGTAGATTATGCTTTATGTTTTATCTGTCAGAAAAATATTTCCCATTTTTGCACAAGGACGTTTACAAGATTTTCCTTGTTATTTGATATAATTCGTTCTACCTCTGAAGAAGATATTTGTTCGCCATTAGCGTAGTGTCTGCCGTGCATTAGCGACGCTATTATTATCGTGTTTGCTTTGCAGATACGCGCGGTAACAGCGTGTCCCTTTGTTCTTCGTGGATACGTGCAAGTTGCGAGAGGCTTGTAACCGAGTAAAATGCACATTTATTCCGACCTGGTTCAGTTATGGTAGTTTCAATGTGTTTATATTTGACTCCCGTTTTAGTTAAAGGCTACTCTTCTTTAAATGTGTCTCATTTCTCGCGAATATACAACGCGTTATATACTGTACAAAATGTAAATGTCAATTATCAAAAATGAATGTTATTAATTACACCTATCATAAGGGAAAGGATATCTATTTTATTGTATTAATTTTTCTTGCCAATTAGATATATTATTGTAATTTTATTCTCAGAAATAAATGAATGTCAAAATTATAATTTCCACGTTCATGTAATATTAATTAAAACATTTTCGTGTATTTTTTTTATCCAAGAAATTTTATCTATTACCTATACAAAATATGAAAAATATGATATATCGTGTATCGTGTATAAATTCGATTGCGCGTAAAAGGTTATCGAAGAATGAGAGATTGCACGTACCTCCTATTTAAATCTAGACTAGAGTTCACGAACAGTGACAAAGAGGACGGATCGAAGGGGAAAAAATAGAGATCGAGAAGAGAAAATAGTAGCGAAAAAGAGAGGAAAAAAGGAGAAAAACTCAAATTAAATCGACCATATCCGGAGCCATGAAAGGAAAACAACGGCGGTGCAACGGCGGGCAACGGTTTTACAATTCGGCTGAAGGAAGGCGGAAACGACGGAGGGTGCACATACGACGAAGGGATGCGAAATTCCATTCCATTAGTCGGCCGTTAACGATCGAACGTGTTCGCTCGACTGTGTGTGCACGCAGGATATATCCACAGAGATTCTGCGGAATGCGGAGAGAAACCGACTACTATCCGTCCTACTACGATCTTCCCGCGATTTCTCCCTGGAACGGCGTAAAGGATTTTCGATTACGTTTTGTCGCTGCTTTTGTTCCGCTCTGTTCGGTTTCGAGCCCACTTCACGCGGCCTACTCCTTTCTTCCTTCGTATTACGCGAGAAAATCCTATCCTTTCCTTTCCGATTCTTTATCCAACCATCCCTCGATTCACTTTTCGAGTTACCCTATGCATTTTTCTCGGTCTCTTGCGTCTCTTTTTTTTTTTTTTTTTTTTTTATGGACAAAACTTCTCGCAAAATTTATTCTCCAAGATAAAACGCAATATGGCTATTAAAACTTATGATTGAGATAAACTTTGATATTTTTTAATTGCATTCAAAATAAATAAATTATGAAAGTGCATTTGAAAAATTCACCTATTTTTATTGCAATCAAGAAGTTTGTCAAAGTTTATCCTATTGTGTGTATACATTTCTCTCTTAATTAAACCAGTTATAAAAATATATGCATATAATATTCATTTCAATCATTGTCGAGTAAATATCTTTCTTATTATCCAATTCATTTATATGTGCAAAGATAGAATCGTATACTTTTGAATCATATTCGAACGAAATATTTCCGAAAGTAATTTCGAATCACGAGTCACCACGATACGAGAACGATTCGGTGAAAGAGGAAAACGCGGTTCTTATTCTCGTATAGTGCCGCTGGCCGCGATCCCTCGCTGGAACCTGGAAATTGAATTTCGGCGGCGTACACGCGGCTTTCTAATTCGAATTTAAGGTTGCTCGCGAAAGCTTTGCTCGTACATTCGGCAAAACGGCCAGATCAGACGGAATTTATTCGACTTTACCACGTTGGAAAGGGGCGGCAGGTGCTGGGGCGTTGTGGGAAGGAGAACGAAAGGTCGCGACCACAGACACGAAGCGAAAACGCGAAACTATGGAGACTAACTGGTGGAAGAGGGGTCGCAAGGGATTTATAGACCGACGAAAACTTACGACACCTGCTCGTGCTTATGTACAAGATGTCTAGGCTCTTATAGGAGCGATTAAGATCAAGATCTTTATTCGAGATCACAAGTCATTATTAAATGTTCATTGTGCCACGGTATAAAAATAATATTTTAAATAATTTCACGATAACTATTATTTAAAATATTATTTTTATACCGTGGCACACTGAACATTTAATAATGACTAGACTATTATCACTTGTGATCTCGAATAAAGATCTTTATTAGATTAAATATATTTAATATATATAAATAATAATAAAAATATATATATATATAATAAAATATATTATATAAAAATATGTATATTAATTACATATTTAATATAAAATATATAACATATAATGAATGTAAAAATTATATACGCTCTGTAATCATTTTGGAGGTATCCGTGCACGTGCGAAGACATTTCAAATTCATGTCAGACGACTGCGAACGGCAGTGGCGTCATGCAATAATTCCCAACTTCTCCAATTATCGTTTCATCCCGCCTTCGCGCCTTTTAGGTCGAAAGACCGAGAAAGGAGGTCGCGAAGAAAATAAACCCGTAGAACAAGGCACGGACTGACGTTGCCCGAAATTGTCCGGGAGAAATAAGTATTCCGTGATCGGAATCGCGCGGTATATCTGCAGGGATTTGATCGAATTAAAGTTTCGGCGGTGACGCGCATGAGACACTGTCGTCGAGAGAATCGATAAGCCGACAGACAGCTCTCGTGAGAGAGAGAGAGAGATCTCATTAATTAAGGTGACGTTGCTCTCTTGCGAATGATCCTGTTATTCGCGCGCAGATGTAGACTCGTGTAGATTCGAAGTAATTAGAAAAATCTAGCTGATCTCAGCTCTTTCATCTCAGCATTTTCGATAGATGAGATTTGAATCGTTCCAGGGACAATTTAATATATTTTGCATGACGTCGCGTCTGATTAAAACCGTATTTGATATCCTATATATATATATATATATATATATATATATGTAAAGAGCAAAGTATTTTCGACGTGCATATTTTACATTTCAATCTTCATGCGCGTCAGATCCAAATGATATATTAGCCTTCGTATTGAATATGATTACTGTAGAAAAATAGCTCTTAATATATAGAACTGTTTGTGATTCCCTTTTCCTATGTGCAAGTTATATCAAATAAATTATTTAAATCCATGCATCAAATAACCCATTACTGCGGCATTTTATCCTAAAGTGTTACCCGTGCTTGTTTTTCTTTTTTTTTTTTTTTGTTTTAATTTGCATCAATGTGTAACATGCAAATTTTTGACAGCATTTTCAAAGACAAATGGAATAATATATCTTCCAGTAACAAACAAAATAAAATAAAATAAAATCGGAAAATAAATGTGAAAAATCGGATTGCTCAGAATAGCGCCTGTATATGTATACATATGTATACTGCGTCGAGTATCAGGATCATTCTTAGGATTAAAGCTACCATGCCCTTGTTTCATGCACGACGAATCGATCGAGCTCGATTCGATACAAACAACTAGAACTCACCGATCAGTTTGCCAAACTGCGCTGGAGGCTTCCACTCCGGATAATGTCGCGGGAATCGCGCCCTCGACCAGTAGGTCCTCAGGGTAACCTTGTAAAGCGCCAGCTTGTCCTGCTTGTCCTGCTTGTCTTGCCGGTCCTGGGCGTACGATCCGCATTGTCCGTGGACGGAGAGGAATCGCGTGGCCAGCAGAAGCAGCAAGAGCACCGACCACCGGTGCCACGTGCCACGGGACATCCTGCGGTGACAGATCCGCACAAGTATAAGCGGGGGAAGATCAAAAAAAGTAAAATCGCCGTCGTGCCAAGCACTATTAGCCCGGCCACGATGCGCGGTATGCGACACGTGTCAACGTCCGCCGTATGTATGCACGCACGTGTTGCATACTTGGGTTCGCTCGTTCCGAGATGCGACCGCGCGATGGAATTCGACACGCGCGCGCGTCACACCCGACAGTTTTCCGACAGTGTGTCTGTCTGTGTGTGTCTATCTGTCTGTCTGTGCATTTGGATGTGTATGTGTGTACGCGCGCCAACAAAATATTAAGAGGAACGCGAAACTTCTAAAGTGCTCCGTATAAGGAAACGTCAAGGGAAGATAAAGCTGCGAAACGACCTACTACTAGATGCAGCTACTTCGGATAGTAATTTCTACCGTTGCTAGTACATGATACCGTTGGGAAAATATAAAGCTTATCTCTTATCGGTGGAACTAAAATAAAATGAAGTGGAGTAACAATTCATCATGTCTTTGCGACTGTACAATCATCTGTTATAACCGTCGTTGGGAGAATACCTCGTTTCTAAAACTATATAAGCGAAAAGCTATTTTCTGCATTTATCGAATAATCATAATGCAACAAAGATAATATATATATAAAATAAAAGTAAAATACAAAATATAATTAATTAGAATAAAACTTGTAAGTTAAGTTTTAATTATATTTTTAATTATTTTATTATGTCTCTCTTTCACAAGGAATTTTTTGCGAAACTAAACTCCAGCATTTAATTAAATCACAGTGCATATTTTACTTTTGTTGGATTTTAACATTTTATTCCTTTTTCAAAATTCTCGCCGAAGGGAAAAATCGATTCTATAAAAAATTCATCGAATAATTCATCACAGAAGCGAACTTCTTGGGAGTCACTCGGTTTTGACTATACGATAATTAATGATATTCTGAAACGATGCGAGAAACCACGCACGATGATTTAGTATTGAAAAGCAAGTGTGCATTGCTTGAGAATTATATTGTCAGGCAACTTTGCGATGGTAACTCGGTTTCGTAAACAAGATTGATCCGAAGGCATGTCAACGAAAGAGAGAAGACGACGCGCTTTTCCCTCGCGTAACTGCTGAATAATTCAGGGGCCGCCGAGAACTCAGTGGGGGTCGTCGTTTGGGGTTTTTGGGATTCTTTTACATGGACGCAATCAAAAGGATAACGTGATATTACCGCGCGGACGAATAAAATGCCGCGTAAAAGGCGATGTCGGTGTCATTACTCCCCCGTTTTCCTTTCTCCTTCAACATTTCTGTCCGTCGCGCGTAAGAACGTGCCGAATTTTTTTCTAAGTGAATTCATTACTCCAGGGAGAAAGAAGGGAACGAGCATTTCTCAATTATCATTTCACCCGCGAAAACGGCCGGGAAAAAATGTTCGCCATAAAGGGGAGACACGTATATAGGCGCTACTCGCTTTCGCATATATTTATACTTCACGAGGTGTATAAAATTCGCTGTATTTTAAGACCCGCGTAAATCTATCGATCAAAGTTCTCCGCGGAAGCTGTCTCTCTCGCCGGATGCGAGTGACGACACAATCGGCGTTGCACGGGCTACACGATCGTATCTCGCGGGCTTCGTGTTTACATATGCAGATTCGCGCACTCAAAATTCAAATCGCATCTGAATCGCTTCCAATCGGTCCCGACTTGACCAACCACTCGTGTGTCGTCGAAATTTCACGGCGTTTCCGACCCGCTTTTTCCGGTCGACCACTCGACTCCAAGAAAAATCACGTCGCTGGAATCGTTCCAGTACTGGATTTTGGAATGATTGGCGACCTCATCATATAGTTGCGTGATATTTAACAGAATATTTCTATTTCATAGAATTCGTCAGTGACTAATATTTATTTCGGTACATATATATATATATATATTTTGTGTATATTATAAATATGCATAATTTAATATTTATACAATACAACATAATTTATGTATATATTAGAATTTTTTGCATAAGTTTGTACAAGATTTTTCATAAATTATAAAATGTTGGGATGTGCTTGCTTTTGATAACAAAATTATGACTGATATATTTTTCAATAAATTTTATATTGACTAATTTACGTATCGAAATTAAACGCAATTAAACCATCCTCGATGAAAAAATAAACATTTCTATATTTTGAATATTTTGAGCGAGAAAGAGAAATTTACAAAAAAAATGGTACAAAAAATTATATATAATTGTACTAAAAATATTAATTACGGCATTAAAACTTAAAAGCTCTTTCAGTAAACACAAAAGTTTCAGCTTTTAAGATAAGCTTCCTGTATTTGGTCGCTAGCCTTTCTGACGAAAGGCTAAAATGTAAACCGAACAGTTAATGAAAAGCACACGAAAAATATTTATATCTCTTGCACGAAACTTTACCAACTTTACCAATCCACCGTTAAACACTTCTTTACGTCCCAGTACAGTTAGGTAACTACAAAACTTTCCATGTTTCCGATTCAGTATTGATCACGACGCTATACGATTGTAAGAAACCGAATCTAGAAGCGATACGATTCAATTTATTTGGTAATTCATCCACGCCTTTTAAATATTAGTTTTTACTACTTGCCGTAATTATATACGAGAAATTCATTTCACGTGTTATTATTATTACGTATTTTTAAAATGATAAAAAATATACGCCCGTAATTTTATTTTCTTTTAATATATATATAATTTGCATTTGATCTTTTATTAAAGAAATTCTCGCTCCTCTAACAAAGCTCCTAGTAAAATAAATATAATTTGCGATGTATTATAAAATCACTGAAAAATCCACTGGAAAATTATGCCAGAGAAAAATTTTTAGATTAATTCCTCCCCTCAACACGAAATGAGAAAACTATCTACTCCGAAATTTTATATCTCTCACCCCTTGCAAAAAAAATACGCGCGTATATGTTCTTCGCTCTATTTCTCTTTACGATAATATCAACGTGGAAGTGGAACAGTAATGTCCCAAGTTAAATTTTTCCCCAGAAACTCAATTATTTTTACGCGAGAAAATATGTGGCAAACATCTCACAGGAGACCTCAATTCGCGGCTTGCGTCAGTATACGCGTTACGTAAAAATCCGTAATTATAGTACGCTCTTGAGAGTCGGACCGAGCCGCATCTCAGGGGATGCGGATCCAGAGTAGAGAGTTTCGCGACCGACCGGAAAGAGAGGGGTTGAGGAAAGAGAAGCAGAGGGAGGAAACATTATTTAACCGCGGTGCTGCAAGTCGCCGCACTCTCGGAGTAGAACGACGGCGGTAGCAGTTAGGTAACTGAAAACCGAGAACCCTTTTTTGCTTTACATTTCATTATGTTTCATTAGCGGGAGGGTAGGCGAAATAACTCGGGCGAGTCGCAAATTATGGTCCTCCCTTCTCCGTATCATATGAGATTCGCGTCGTTTGTTTTTCAGCCCCAGTGACCTTATTTCGTCGTCATTGTCGCCAGAAAAGTAGGAGACGATAGGAGGGAAATATGCGACGGCGCTCTGCAAACGATCGTGGATGACGTGGAGAACTTCAGACCCGGGGTCCGTGTTTTTCCGAGCTCGGGCGGTTGATTAATTTAATGGCCGCGGGAGCTGATTCCTCTATCTTTCTTTCTTCTCTCGTCGGTCTATTAGCGCGATTCTCCGTCCCGGTGTCTTCGAACTTCGCCTTTTCGCGCTTTCCGGTAAGCAACAAGTAGTCGCAAATCTGATTATTTGTTGGCACGTAAATAACGAAAAGCCCGGGAATCTTGTCCGAGAGGAAGGGGTTTGCATGAATTTGGAGGACGACGTGTAACGTCGTCTCAATAGATGGGATATAAAAGATTATCTTTGTTCTATAAGGCAAGAATCCTCGAGAAGAAATTTGAAAGTAAAATTAATTGTTTATTTGAAATTTTGATGCAATCACGATAACCTAGTTATTTTTATGCATATTGATATTGACCTATTTATATTCTCATTATTTTGTCAAGACCGATCAGTTTTATTTTTCATAACTTTCGACGCAACTTCGTTATTTTTATGTATATTTATAATGATCTATTATATTTCGTAAAAACCAATCAATTTTATTTTTCGTAATTTTATTATAACATGTATATCGCCGTAACATCATGAACATAGCTTAACGAATAATTAACTTCAGAAAATTAATACCACCATTGAGGAATCTGAGACGAAACTCGGAGCTGGAGCTGGAGCGAGGTCTGATTCAGGATTCCAAATCGTAGTTAATGGAATCCCCTCGCCAAAATCGGAGCTGTGCATCGCGTGAATACGTAATAGTTACTGCGTAATAATAACCTTAACTCGCTCGAATACATCTCGGGTTACACAACAGTGCGAAACTTTCGTCGGACAGCAGATATCAAATGTCCATCCTCACCAGTTAATGAGCCATAAAATGCTATATCATAACATGCATTGAACATCTATTCTTTTGTGTGACAGTAAGTGTATGTACATACTCCGAATGCATATAAAATAAAAATGTATGTCACACAGCTTTCGTTTAACAAAAGATTAAACATTTATTTAGAATTATAATAAAAAAAGATTATTAATCACGAGCAAATATATTTACTATTTTCAGTTGCAGAAAGAGTTTTTTGAGATCGTTATATATAAATCAGACCATCTAAAATAAAACGAAATATGTGGACGGCAGATATCAAATATCATTACCAGTTATAATATATATGCCACCACAAAACATATATTCAAAATCTTTACTTTTCTGTCATTAACTACATACGTTCAGAATAAATATAAAGTGACAAAAAAACTTGTATTTCACACATTTCTGTTTAAAATGACCTATTTATTTAGAATTATAATAAAAAAGATTGTTTATTGTAAATGAATATATTCCATATTTTGAGTTGCAGAAAGAAACTAAATTTTTTATATAAATCAAACTATGTAACAAAGCAAAAAATGCACAGCAAGTATCAAATATTATACATTATCAATTAGCGAATCATAAAAGGATGTACCATAATATACATATATGAAAAATCTATGTTTTTTTTATTCTGAAACATATCACTCGAAATAAATAAAATAAAACATAAAAATTTATATGACACGTGACTTGCAACTATAATTACGGTAACCATCCGTTCTTTATTTTAGAGGGCAATCCTTTATTTCAAATAGCTCTCCTTCAGATTTATTCGGATTTATTTATTTTTCTAAAACTCAATTTTATCCTTTATTTTTTCATTTAACGTTTTAATGCCTAATGTCGTAACATTAACATGAGAATTTGTATGAAACCAACGGAACCTCTTATCTGAAACCTAAGGATTTAAAAAATCAAAAATTTATTTCAGCATAATCGAATCAATTTTAAATTATATAAAAAGTATGTAACTTCTGAGTCATAGAATTATTTTTCTTTTTTTTTGCTCATCGATTTCCACTTTGGTCGTAAATTTATTTGAAACAAACATGTTGAAACAAAGTTAAAAAATTGTCAGGAATTTTGTCATTTATCTTCAGAAAATATAGTCACCGTAAATATAATAGTAAGATTAAATATTTATTTATAGAATCACAATTATAGAAAATGATAATTATAGGTAAACTTGTTTGCTATTTCGAGTGATAGAAAGAGAGACTGAACATTTATTATACGATTGATATATAATATAAATCGGATAACGAAAAAAAAAGGAATGCGTAATGCTATTCTATGAACTTGATAGAAAACGAAAAAAGTGTATGCACGTTTTACAGAAATCGTTGGCGACTTATCGATGCGTGGATCTCAATTCCACGTAAAAAAGGATGTCTTTAAACTTCTATTTAACTCGATGTTGAATGAATAGCCGGTCAAAGGACTTGAGCTTATTCGCGAAAAAGAGAGTGGCACTCGCTTAAGTGTTTCCGCAAACAAATTACCTCTATGCAAATTATTTCTACACGCAATCGCTTAGACCCTTGTATCAGAAATAATATATTTATAAGAAAAACTCTTAAATCTCTGGAAAATATATTTAATAATATTCTCTATGTAGTGTTTCCGAAAGTATTTTTTTTTAAGTGCTTTAAATGTTTTTTTATAAAATTGAAAAATATAGTTCAACAAAAAAGATGTGTTTTGTATTACGCGCGATTTTTCGTAATAAATATGGCGACTTTTCGGAAACGCGCCTTTAAAGAACTTTAAACGTAAGCGGAGTAAAATTAAGAAATCAATCGCGGAGTAAAATTAAGAAATCAATCTGGCGTACCTTTCCGACAATCCGTCACACCCTTCGATTAGGTCTCCTTTCCACCGTCTGCGATTCTTCTCAGATTCCGAGTTGGAGATGGACGAAATGGGCAAGAGAGTACTCGCGGAAAAACACTTTTCACACGTATATATATATATATATATATCACACAGACATCATCGCAGATCGCGAAAAGGGCGAACAGGAAGGTAAGACGACGAGAGACAAAGTTACTTCTCGTTTCGACTGCAAATTTACGCTTTAGATTTACGTTCCTCTCTCGAGAAAGCGCCGCGACGACGAGGACGGCGACGCTTCCACCTTCCACGCGCACGAATTTGGTCACGAACGATCCCAGAGAGAGGAGGTTCTCACGTTTCACACAACTACTTGGACTCGATAAGCGCGTCCGCACGGCGCGAAATCCCCCTTTTGCCGGGT